CAGAGCAAACAAAAAAAAAACCCTTTATAGGGTACTTCTGGCTTTTCTAGTCCTACCGCTCCCAGGTGGTACAGCATACAGTCATTTTGTCATCCCAGATCTGAAATATTGTAGTATTACTATTTGGTAACCGCTTTAAACTTAGTTTTACAATGCTTATATCCTTTTCATATTTCATTTGACACTAAGGAGTAATTTGCTAAAGTATTTGCACATTGACCAACATGAGTCGTGATACTATATCACGTCCTACTTAATGCTTTGGTGCTGTGCCTGATCGCTACAGTTCAATTCTCTGTCCACTGCTCCTACAGACTCTGCGTTGCACCACTCTGATCACTGCAGTGAATATGAAGATTCACCATTCTGTAGCCTTACCAGCTCCTCATCAGTTCTCTGTTTCTCTGGTGTCCACCACCTCTGGATTAGGAGTTTTTTCCCTGTCCTCCAATTTCTTTTTTTCCTCCCAGAAATATCAGTTTTGTTCTCCTGATTCTGTTCCCCTGGCTTTGCCTCTACCAGGGTTCCATTACTTCAGCTTATGCATTTGAACTCTATACCAGCTATAATTCATGCTTACATATCTGGGACTTGATATTTGGAGATCTTTCTCAGGAACTGGTATTATATTTTCAATAAATTAGTCTGCTTTTGATTATACAATGTTTAATATTCCTGAATTTTTATTTGGTTTTCAGAGTTCTATCACTTGAAGTGTACTTATACTTTTTCTCTTCTGTTTCCTGGTTCAGGGTGTAAAACTTGTTCTGTATAGTTCCTCATCTTATTGTGTCTGAGCTGTAAAACACATGAAGTGTAGGTACTTGGTTTTAGTTTTCCCAGTAGGGGAGGGAAAAGCTGCCGTTTCACTTTTCGTGACACTTGTTAGCAGGCCCTTATAAAAATAAATTTCTCTCTTCCACTGTTTCTTTGTCTCTGTTTTCTTTCAACTGGAAAATCTGCATTTCCAGTAAGCTTAATCTGTCCACCTGGAAAGACTGCTCTTGTTAGACTTTTTTTGGTCCATTGCTTGTATACCACCCCCACATCTGAACTGCTGCTTTTCCTATGGGTTACTTTTTCTTCAAGGACTCCTGCCTCTCTTTAGACTTGTGACTAGAGCTAGACTGAGGATTTATATCAAGATGTTTTTCTAGTTTGAGATGATGCTTTTGTTTAAATGTTTAAACTCACTGGAGTAAGTCCATTTAATAAACAATAAAGATACATTGACTGATGTTAACTAGAGCCATTCCTAGTCTATTCATGCTCACAGTAAAAAGACAGACAAGGACATTCAGATGAAGTATAAGGTGACATGGCAACATGTTGAAATGCATTGTGTCTATTATTTCACTGATGCTCTGCAGTCATACGTGGGACGCTAACTTCAAGCTAAATGATCATTTTGGCGTATTTATCTTCTACTGGATTTTTTCTGTGCAGTTACATTAAAGTTCTAATGCAACTGCCCTGGAGAAATAAAAGTCACCACAATATCTTGAGGGTGTTTATCTACAGCAGATGCTATGTGCTCTTTAATCCGTTAAGTAAGCAAGACGTGAGAGAGAGGGAGAAAGAAAGCCATTCAGATTCGGATTCCTATTTTTCACAATGAAACTTGTGTGCTTGAGCTCGCTCGGTGAGTACCAAAAATAGCTCAGCAAAAAGGGCTTTCCTTGAGCACTTCCATTATTCACATGATGCGGCACCTTACATAACGCGAAGCGTGCATGTCATCCCAATGAGCGCGGTGCACACGGATGCTAGTGGGCAAAATTTTCCACCGGGGACAGTAGTACCAAGTGTTTTAAAGGCAAAGTCAGGCTGAAAACACTGATTTTTTTCAATGGGCAAGTCTAGAAAGTCTTAGAAAATTGTTTGGAGGGTCTGATGAAGGGATTTCAATATGATTAAAATGGCAGAGATGGCTTTGAAAATCAGTGACATTCAACACATACCTCTTCTCCTCTTTAAAGATAGAAATACTGTACTATCTTGTCACAGAGACTTTGTTGGGGCACTTGGGGTACTTGCCTTGCCACCAGCAGCTCTATCCAGAGACCAGAGCTACTCTGAAGCAACTGACTAGGTGCTGCCATCTTTGCTTAGTGGAGTTATTCTTTGCTGCTCTAATCATTTAGTCTCAGTCCCAGCTCTTTCATTTGAAAACACCATTTGTGCCTCCCTTTGCTAATCTGCATGCATGTGAACCCCCTTGGCTGCAGCATTGTTATTTGTATTGCCCTGTGTTCCCTGCACGTGGGATTAAATTCTGTCACAGCTTCCAGCTGCACAGTTTTTCGTTCAAGCTATGAAGTGTTGGTTTTAACACTAACGGACCCAAACATAGCCCCTATTCTTGGTCACAGTGGTAAACATCACACACATAATTTAGAAAGTCATCTTTGAGATGATGATATGAATACTAGTGTACTGTGAGTCATTTTGACTACTGATCGTATAACATAATAATTACTGTTTTCAAAAAGAGATGATTGAACCTGCGTAAACAGAGTTCTTCTGCTTCCCTGGAAACACATAATTTTGAAAAATAAGCAAATCTTGTTTAATTATTACAAATCATATTTTTAAAAGAAGTTATTTTATTTCAGGTAATCTGGGACTATGCAAATTTAGAATTTAATATAATGAAACTGAACTAAATCCTCAGTACCATCAAAGTCATGGCTTCTGCAGCCTGTACTCAGTCTATGCAAAAAGTGGTACCATGATACACAGTAAATAGGCAATCCTTTCTCTAAGCAGTGAAGTATTGCTACTGATGGGTGTATTTCACTGTGAGCTAGAAGACTACATGACTCTTTAGGACAAGCATTGAATGCTTCCTCCAACAGAAACTGCATGGGGAAGGCAGACAGTTTGGAGCACTGATTACCTGAGGATATAGGGATTTATTCTGTATGAAAGATGGCAACGGGTCCTGCTAGTGTAATATTTTCTAATGCAATGACAGATCAATGGTTAAACATTAAATACAATTTCTGGGCCATCAACAGTGCAACCCAGACTTTCCTAAAGAAACATTAACCAGTCTGATATTTGCCTTTTATGCAATGCTCTGAGGGTTGCAGCACTAAGAAGAACAAAATCAAGCAGAAGATATAATTAAAACAGTGACAGAGATATGGGCTTACAAAACTACAAACAGTAATTTCTCGTTTTGTAGATCTAGCTGCTAAATTTGAGAATCCTGGTCAGGTGTGATTTAGCACTTATATTTTCTCTCCCTAGATTAGCATTGAGTGACACAGTATAAATATTAAATCATCCCTCTTTTACACTGTCTCCTCTTGACTATGACTTTTAGATTTGCATTCACCAGAAACCCTTGGTTCAGTGAGCAATACTTCAACAAGTCAAGCTCCCTGCTTGTGAGGTTTCTTGTGGCATCACAGGCTATGTTGCTATGATCTCCTCTGCACATAAATGTCCTTCTTTTGAGCAGAAAAGAAACAAGCTGCAGCTATGGTAGCATTGCTCCAGAAACCTCTGTCTTGGTATGTCTTCTCTGTTCACCTCTCAAGTGCTCATCATTTGTATGGTGGGAGTTCTCCTGGGGAGATCAACATCAGGGCAGCTCCAGCTCTTAGGGCTTTGCAGCAAAAGTATGGCAGTGACATGACCCCTCTGTGTACTGCCCTGCCTGTATATGTAATACACCATATCCAAAAGGAGAAGAGAGGTTTCTGGAAGCTTTCCTTAGAGAAAGGATAGCTGGGCCTTACATGAACCTTAGCTGAACTACTAGTACTTCATGACTGATAAGACATGCAACACTGAGTACTTACTTGGGTTGCATTTGTAGGTGTATGGCATCAGCTTTCCAGTGGCAGCATAGTAATAATGGTCGTATCTCCTAGAGAGACCTTGATTTTTTTTCTATGTTCAGTTTTATATATGTATAAATGTGATTATTTCTACTATAGAAAGTGTCCAGAAATGAAGGCTCTCTTCTACTGCTTGATATCATAGCTCTGAAACGGAACAATTTATTGCATTGCAAACCCTCTATCCTAATTTTGCTGTGTAATATGAACTGTGTTTTTTGCTTTGATTTAGGAAACTACTAATTCCCTTTGCAGTGTACAGAATCCACTGAAATCATCTGCATCTTATAATCACATAACTTTACAGAGCTTGATCAAAGTCAGAGGCCCATTACAGCTCAAAAGCTGCTCACGCAATGTTTTTGTTCTGGGAAATCAGGTCCTGAAAGATTTAAATCTTGGTCCCATTTTATTTAAATGAATACATTTCATTTCTCAGCCACCAGTATCAAGCACATTAAGCTCATTTCTCTCTCCAGCACTGATTTTATTACCTCCAGAAGTCACCCGTAATCTGGATCTATCAGCTGTTATCATATTGCTTCTGATCTGCTACATGTTACACTGCATAAAAGATTTCAGCCCTATGGCTCTTCTCCAAGCAAATAAAAAGAAAACAATGAAATACAATTTTTCATTCATAGCTATGCACACACCACTAAGCAGGACTCAGGACATCATGAGGAGGAACACTGCAGGTTGACAGTTCAGGAATAAATACTATACCAATAAAAATTAATTTCATTATACCTACCAAATATTGTTGGAATGAGCTCATCTGAGGCATGACACAATGTGGGATTTACTGTTTCAAGGCATTTCCTATGCTCCTGTCCCCCCCCCATTCACTCTATATTTACACAGGACCAGACTACTGAATATACGTGCACTTTCCTTGGGAGGTTTGGAATGGGGGTGGCACAAGCCAACCATGGAAAAAAAGCAAGCATAAGGATGGGCCACAACAACGTACAACATGAAACTGCTGTTCATGCTGGGGACAGTACTTAGTATTTTGTGGGGACATTCAGCAAAGAGAATACAAGAGAGTATTAGTGATGCCATCAAAATAATCCATTTTGCTGATTTATGACATCATTGCACATACTAAAACTCTTTCTTGCTTTCTCTTTCTCACTGTGGTTTTACCCTCAAACTTGAATTGCCGATCTGATTCACTGTCCCGTAAGCTGATGACTCTTTGCTTCGCAAGCCATTCATGCGCCGCATGGACTCGACGCTTTCATTCCCAACAGTCATAGTCTGTGCCTGTCCCCAGAGTGTCAGCACAGAGAGCAGCAGCAAGAATGAGAATAGCACAGCAGTAACACGACAACACACATACACAACACGCAAAGAGAAGAATGGCTCGGTTAGAGAACACCACCATGCAAAACAACGTGAATCACTTTCAAGACAAAATAAACTGAGAAAATCGTGAGACACAAACTCAAGTAAAGAGATGCAGAAAACACTTCCTAAAGAAATGGCCTTAGAAACATTATTTCCTGTTTTGAAATTCATGCAATCAGTTTAATAGGAAAAGTGAAAGCAAGCGTGTGCAAATGGATAGGTACTCTTCTCCAGCAGAAAATTTCCTTGCATTTAATTAAGGCATTACTCATTTAGCAAAGAATTCATGTACTGACTGCCTTAGGATAAATACAGGTCTTCAGGTGATTTTGTTTTAAATAACTTTATTTTAATAGTAAATTATTAAACTAAAAAAATAGTAATATTTTAATAGAATAATCATTCCCACAGGAGATTAATGACCACTTCCATGGACCACAACCTCATAATTTTGAATGATGCCACTGGATACTGTAAGTTAAAAGTGATGGCTTCCTGCCTACTTGTTCATTTGTAAAGAAGTCATCATAACCAAACCTGAAACTACAGACCTCATACAACAGCTTCTGATGCTGCCATGCTGGTTTGAAAACAAAGGCTTCCAGTGGCAGTGTATCTGGCATGTGTGCTTGCAGATGGGAAAGTATTTCTGCTCTCTCCTGTAATCTAATCTTAACAGGAATCTCAATTCACCTGACAATAATATTAAACCAGAGAACAGCACTGGATTGCTTCCCAGAGCATCCATCAAGTATTACATTAGCTACAGAACATTTATTAGACAGACCTGTCAAAATAAAAATGCCCTGTGTCATTGTTGTCATCCCTCTTGTAAAGGAAACCATTATTTGCGGCTTGAAGCACCCGCGCAGCTCAAGCAAATATTTATTTTATGTAGCAAATGCATATGTTTTACACCATAGTGTAAACCTAAATGTTTCTACTGATACTGAAAAGCAGTGACATAGGTACAGAAAGGATGAAGACTTTATAGTTGTGGGAATGATCATGACAGAACTAAAATTCAATTTAACATCTATTCTTGTCTTTTCATTTACCAAATACAAAAACAGAAAATATGGACAGACTTCCTAAAAATAATTCTAGACTGATAGCTAAGTTAAAAACAAGCCTTTCTTCTACATTTCAGTCACTGGTATAAAACTATGTGATAACGATACTCACAAATAGGTTCTTTGTTAAAAATTTGAAGTTAGCATCAGTAACAAACTGTGAAATAGTAGAATGTAGAGAGGAAAGTGTCATAATCCCTCTCTTTTTTAAAATGGAAGTGTTTACTTGTTTCGGCTGGGAAAGACACTAGTCACTGGTGGTTTAGAAGTAAAGGTAGAACTGCTGATCACTCTGCAATGGGCTACCCTAAGGGATCTCCCTTTTTATCATGACTGCCTAGGGTGGCACTAGAAAAGACAGGTTTCGAGCATTTGCTGGTGTCAGCATGTCTGTATGATGTCAAGGAAATAATATTGGTACACTATCTATGTCACTGCTTCCATCTGTTCCTCATCTGCTGGTGGGTGCCACATAGGAGCACAATACTTGTAAAGGTACAGCTGCCTCAGCAACTGCAAGAAGAGAATAAAATTCTTGAAATCAGTGACCAATCTATTGACATTTATCAATAACTTCATAAACTGCAAATAAACAATGGCCACTTTTGAGCTCTTTATCAAGGAAAAAATCACTCAAAAGGAAACTTTAGAATGAGACTCTCCTGCAAGGGCAAGAAGAACCGAGGTGAGAAATCAACTGCACGTCAGCGTGCTGTCAGGGCAGACTCAGTCACCCCAAGTAAAGAGCAGTTGTACCTTGTTTTGTCTTCTTTGCCTTCTTCGGAGCCTCAGAAACTCCTTGTGCTGCCGTGAAACAAAGTTGACTGCGGCATATTCCAGTAATGCAGCAAAGACAAAAAGAAGGCATACGGCCATCCAGATGTCAATAGCTTTTACGTAGGAGACCTAGAAAGAAATAGGACACAGTATGTTATATTTCAAACTTCTTCATAAGCTGAAGTTATTGATGTGAAAAATAAACACATTTCTGCACAGCATGAGTTCCAGTTGTTCAATGAGGTGGGTTTTTTCTTGTTTTGTGATTTAGTTTATTGGCTTGTAACAAATAAATAATAAAACTATTAATGGAAATGTATGTTCACAGAGAATACACAAATTATGAAGTACTGCCTTTAGGAAAAGAATTACTCTAACAAAATGCTCTTACAGTCACAGTCATAGCTTATCAGAAAGAATACAAATACAGGACGCAATTCAATACCTATTGAAAAATAACTCTAGTAAGTTTATAGTTATCACCTTCTTTATTTTTTAAGGACCAATTACAGTATTGATTAATCAGCTATGTTTGGTAACTATATCCTCAAAGTAATCTCAGGATACTGTACCCTAATGATTGTTATGACATTATTAATATATACATAATTAAATATTTGATCCTAGTTTCTTGACCTTTATCCAACAACTCTATAAGAAAAATAAATCTTCATAGGTATTATCTACTACAAATACCCAAATACCAGATGCTTCTGTTCTAGTAAAAGCCTATTCTGGATTTAATTGACTGGTCCACAATAGAATCAGATATATTATAGCACTGCAACATTACAAGATTTTTATCATATTATCCACACTGAGCCAAACAGTAGCCAATTAATGAGCTACACACTATGCATATCAAAGGTACATTGTCCTCCCTGGCTGTATTTGGTCTCTGCCTTTCTCTGTAGTCTCTCAATTTTGAAGCAGAGATCTCATGATTAGGCAACAGTAGGTTGTCTCTTTTCTTTATCAGATATTCTACCCAGAGTGGAATTAAAATCGTTGGACTTTTAATGTCTGCAGTGTACATGTGAGCTAGTTGCCTGAACGACTTTGTTATAAAAGAATTAAGGAATGAAGAAGAACAGGCATTTCTAGGATGAAATGTATCTGAACAGTTTTAGAAATCTTCTCTAGGATGAGATGATTAAGACTCAAATAGTGCTTCTTCATTTTTATGTCTCTAAAGAGGAGCTTAGAACCACTGTCTAAGCATAGACACGTTGGGCTTTACTCAGTTGTCTACATAAAAGCTTTACATAATGCTACACTAGATATCTAGCCTCCATTTGCTAATCCAGCAGAGTACAAAACTTCAGTATCATACCAACCAGTCCTCTGGAGCAGTCTCAGACACCCAAGATCACCTCAAGTAGGCACCACCATCAACTGAATCAAGATAAGCAATATGGATCATGCCTAAACCCTGAAAAATTATAATCAAAGCTATTTAACATCTGAATAGTACCCTGCAGACCAAACATTCCAACGCAGTCAAAATATACAATGATCTGAAAAGAGAGCAGAAAAGGATGTGTTGTGCATCTAACACTCTAATGTTTAGGAGACCCAATCTCCACCTTAGAAAACTCCACCCCTACCCTTTGCATGCACTATTCAAAATGGCCTTGCTCTTATGGTCATGGCTGCCATTTAATGACGAAGGGAAACACAGCTGTTTCAGTAGATTTCGCTCCTATTTGCCAAGTGCTTGAATAGCATAATTTTTTTAAGTCTGTAGTACATTTTTTTGTTAACATCAAATGGAATACACTGCACTATGTGCTCCAGTGAGCAACATGAGCAGAGACATTGGCATTTAAAGCATGGCAGAAAGGATACAGAGCTCCATCCTGTAGATCCTGAACACTGAGCAGGACATTTTACAGAGGCCAAGTGATCTTTTTCAGCCTGCATCATGAGAACATACATTTCAATATCTGAGGCTACAGTGTAGCTCCACACTGCAATGCCCACAGTATAACATACATAGGCTGAGATGGAAGAGGAGGATTCAGCAGGTTAAAGCGACACTATGAATCTGTGCCTTTCAATTAGATACACAGAGGCTATGCATTTCTCTCTAACATGGCTAAAAATGTCTTACAAGTTACATCTTTACTGAGCAGCTGTGAAAACCAGTGAAAGCTCGACAGTGTCCCAGACACTCTGTGCCACAGGCTGAGGGGCAGAAGGAATCATCACTGTAATTTCTGTAAAATGCAGCTGAGTTTAGATTGTTTGTTACCTTCCTTGAAGGGCAGCTTGTTTTCCTTTACAAGTGCCCTTAGGAGAGGTATTAGACATGAGGAAACAGCTGGATCGTGCTGTCAGAGGCAGGTCAATGCAGGAAGCTGAAGCCACAAGAATCAGCACTTCTGACTGTGCAAATCCTGTCCTAGTGGGCTTAAAGCAGGGAGGGCAAAATTATAAAGGAAGCCCTGAGTTAGCCTTCCTGCCACTCACACAGTGCTGCCATAAATGCCATCCACACAATTGCTGAGCCAGCTGGATTATTTTAACTCCAGCCTGCTGGGCTGGAATCAAGAGGGACACAATATACTTGGCAGGTAAGTAGTTTGTTTCATTGTTTAGCCTTTGCAATACAATGGAACAGCTTTAAATGAGAAAATAGAAAACAGTTGCTTCCAGCAACACATTAAAAATAAATAAATGGAAAAGACCTGCAATGAGTGAAAGCTGACCCTTTTGTTTTCAAATCACTTTATGCAATTTCACCTATGTATCCCTAGTACGTACAGAACTGTGCTGCTAAAGCCTAAAAGCCCATGAAATTTTCTGAAGCAAGACTTCTTTCTAGCCACCCCCAAGCATGGAAAATTATGTGGATCTACTACACCAAGCCTAGGAGGGCCTAACCTGGTACACATTTCCATAGAAGTCCTAAAGTGAGTGCCGAGATTTTAGACCAGCCCTTTGGTATCTAAAGCAAAAGTTTCAGTGGATTTTAGGGTCTCTGCTTTAGCTGTCTTTAATCTGTGTCTTCTTCCAAATAGAAATGGTCACACCTACCAGATCTTAGACTGATCTGCAGTGGACCTCTTTCAACCATCCCTGCTGAAGCTGTTCCACTTTATAGGAAAATACTTAAAAATGCATTGGCTTAGGGTCTGGGAACAGAGTCTCCCCTTCCTAGATGCAAATCTTAAGCAGTGGAATATGAAGTCATTCTCTATGTGTCCCAAACACATGCAGGGATTGAGAAGGTTCTATCACAGTGCTTTCATGGTGCTTGAACAATTTCCTCAGTGAGATGAGCACAGAAAGGATGTGAATTTGATCTGCTCATTCCAGGTGAGTGCCATAACCACTTGCCTACTAGATGCTGTGGCTTCTTACTGCAGTGTCTCACATGTCAATGAAATGTCTTTTTCTAGGAGGTCCTGAGCCATTTTCCACTTATCTCCACAGGAAGCTCTTCACTCGACGGACTCTTTCCTAGGTGCTTATTTCTTCTTTGCACTCTACAGGGAACCTTTCACTTCTAATTTTCAGTTAAAAATATTGCTGAATGACATGCCCGTGGGAGCTGGGGTCTGCAAAACTGAGTATGCTGTGATATCACAGGCACATCCATTCCTTTGGGAGGTTCTTCCACCAAATTAAAAAATAATGTTACCAGCTATGTTTTTTTCCCAGATCGTAGCATAGTATGAAAGCTCACGTTTGCTCAACTAAAAGGCTTACATCACCTGCTTTGGTAAGTACTCATCAAACAGTACGGCATCTCCAGTTTCCTTTACTACCATGCTCTATGCTCCATAATCACTACTGTGTACACGTAGAACTGTATAGACTCTGATTTATTGGGGGGGATTTTTTGTCTCGTCTAATTTAAAATATGTTACGTGCATGTGTTTTTTTTAAAAATTAATAGTAAGAAATAAGCATATTTGGGACAAACTGCATCTAAGTGGAAGGTAGATATCTATGCTATAGTCAAACAAACTGAACCCTAAAAATGCTAGACTCTCATTTTTTACCAAGACTGGAGTTTTGGATCACTATTCCAGATATATATGTCTGTTTGATACAGGACAGCATCAGTTAGATAAAGCCTGTGAATCATCTCTATTAGCTAGTGTCTTGATATAATTCTAAACAGAATAGTGCAGAATAAAACAAGTGACCCACACGAGCCTATGTAACACATAATGTTAACTAAGAATTTGCCACCTTTCTCTTAATTTCACTTTAGGTAACACTAGTGTAGGTAACACTACAAATTCAGAAAAAACATTATCAAGCTACCAAGAATAAAATGAAAAATTAGTAGTGACAAGTGTTTTTTTCAAAGGTAGACCTAGTAAAACATTCTCTGAAAAGCCCGTAATACTGACAGCACACTGGCTCCATTTACTCTGCAGTACTTTTAGAAGTGGATGTATGCAAACTCTGCCTTGTTCAGTGTTATCATGTTCAGAAAGCACATTAAGATTTTCTTGCCCTTTGTTTTTCTTTAAATAGCTGCTCCACTTTTTACTGCATGTTGCAGAGCTTGCTCTCTAATGTTGTTTAGGAGGAGGAGATTTAATGGCTCCCACCAATAAAACCCTAAATTATATCAATTATTCAGAAGTTCTGTAAATGTTTTAGGGACAGCTAATGAGGGAAATTTTTCAGAGTGAGAGCTGTCTTCACCAACAGCCAAGTATGTTAAGGCTGAGCACAGTAATTGTGACAAAGCAACTCCTCTCCCTTCGTAATTTCCCTCATTTGTTAATTGGCCATGCCCACTATGTAAACAAAAGACCAGTTTATGCTCTACACAGCACTCTGCAGCGTCAACGACCCCAGTGAAGTTCCTGCAAACGAAAGCCCAAGGAGGATTGCACTGTTCATGGAGGCCTTGCAAAGATTAAACCTTCCACTTTTCCAGCTCTTTTTTATTTTAGTACTGTGACTCTCTCACAGCTTCTGGATAGCTTTTGGCGTATCACCATGTGTCACCACCAGAATGAAGCATGCTTTTGCGGAGAGAAGCCGGGGGAAAACATGGTCATGGGTCCTGCAGTTGAACAGCTGTCATTTGTTGACATGTGTGAATCAACCCAAATGGGAGCTTTATTTCTGCTACAGTGCCAGCCTCATGAGGCTCCAGA